AAGGTAACTATTACGGTAAACTAAGGTAAACTTCTGAAAAATATTGCCAAGAAAACTGCATGGGCTTTTTCATGTAGTTGCTTGGAGTCAAGATTGACTTGCAGTCAGCAAGACCAAAATTAAAAATCATGTAGCCTATAGGTTGGCTACTCAGGATTTAGAATAGTGTTTGTCAACCTGTCAGCTTTCACTTCAGTTGATACATCTTAAATAATACTGCATCCAGTTTTGGTCACCACATTACAAAAAAGATGTTGAGACATTGAGTAACTAAGGTGATTAAGGGCCTGGAGACAAAAAAAAAACATTTGAAAAACAGCTGCAAGAACTGGGCATGGCCAGTCTAGAGAAAAGAAGGATTAGTGGGGACATGATAGCAGCATTCCAGTATATGAGAGGCTGCCTCAAAGAGGGGGGAGTCAAATTATTTTCCAAAGCACCAGAGGGCAGGACAAGAAACAATGAATGGAAACTAATCAATGAGAGAAGCAACCTGAACTAAGATGAAACTTCCTAACAGTGAGGACAATTAACTAGTCAAACAGCTTGCCTTCAGATGTTGTAGGTGCTCCATCACTGGAGGTTTTGAAGAAGAGACTGGACAGTCACTTCTCTGAAATAGTATAAGGTCTCCAAACTACTACTGGAAAAATAGTTTCTCTTTCTTCCTGGGACTCAATCTCAACTTGTTTCAATTCACCCAGTGTTACTCTGCAAGACTTTTATGAAACATCCCACAGAATCTTTTCATCACTACTTTGAGATGACTAGTTAGATGATATTAGCATACAGGGAGTCCCCAGTTTAACAACCATAATTGGCATGAGAATTTCCATTGTTGCTAAGTAAGCCAATTGTTAAGTGAGTTGTGCCTAATTGGCCACATTTCTTTGCATGGTTGTTAAGTGACTCACTGGTTGTTAAGTCAACTATACGGTTGTTAAGTGAATCTTGCTTCTCCCATTGACTTGCTTGTCAGAACCCAGATGAAAAAGTAACAAATGGTGATCATGTGACCCCAGGATATACAATCATTACGTGCCCATTGCCAAGTTCCTGAATTTTGCTGGAAGCTAATGAAAGAGAGAAGCAAACTAAAACTAAGGAGAAATTCCCTAAGGTCCCTTCCAACTCTGTTATTCTGTGCTGTTCTGTTCTTATGGATACTCCCCTCCTCCATCTGTTGTTAGCTCCTCCTTCTCCCCAGTTTGGAATTCTAATCCTATGCAGAATTCCCATTCAATCCTGTCTGCCTTTAGAACCTATATTTGACCCAAGCTAACCAAGGACAGAACCAATGTAGAAATAAACAGAAATTTCCTGACTATCAGAACAATTAGTGGAATGACTTGCCAATAGGATGGGATGGGATAGAATAGAATAGAATAGAATAGAATAGAATCTGGAAGGGACCTTTGAATGTTTTCTAGTCTAGCCCCATGTTTAAGCAGGAGTTTAAACATGGTATATACCATGTTTATACCATTTCAGATAAGTGACTGTGTAGTCTCTTCTTAAAAACCTCCAGCAATGGAGCGAGCGGTCACGATTTCTGCAGGCAAGCTGTTCCACTGGTAAATTGCCTTCACTATTAGGATGTTTCTCCTTAATTCCAGGTTGCTTCTCTCTTTATTTGGTTTCTAACCATTGTTTATTGTCCTGCCCTCTGGTGTTTTGGAGAATAATTTGACCCCCTTCTTCTTTGTGGCAGCCCCTCAAATACTGGAATACAGCTACTATGTCACCCTTAATTCTTCTTTTCTTTAGACTTGCCAAGCCCAAATCCTGCAGTTGTTCTTCCTATGTTTCAGTCTCCAGGCCTTTGATCATCTTCGTTGCTCTTCTCTGAACTTTTTCCAAAGTCTCTCAACATCTTTTTTGTAGAATGGTGGCTATTTGTAGATGTGCCAACACTGAAAGTTTTTAAGAAGAGGTTGGACAACCATTTGCCTGGTCCCTTCTAGCTCTATTCTGATTGATTGAAAGTTGGCAAGGTTGAGAAACACTGACTTAAAAAACAGGTTGTCACTGGAATCCTTTTAATGTTCTCTTGTGTTTCTTCCCATTAGATGTTGTGGATGCTCACTGTGATGTGACGAAGGCAAACGAAATTAAAGGAGGCAAAACAGTAGCACTTCAGAACAACACAGTGCTTAAGTATATATGCCCAGATGGCCAATACCCATACCCTACTGAGTACCGGACATGCCAATGGAATAAATCCTGGAGCACTATGAAAAATAAAAATCAGAGGGTCATCGACCAGGCCATCTGCCAAGGTATAATTAATTTCTAAATTTAGAAAAGAAAGTCTGCCTTTCAGCTGGCCATGAAAGCAATGACACTCTGAGGGGATGTCCTGTTCTGGAGCTCATGGTTTTAGGGCTCCTTTTGATTTCATGGGGAGACCCATACAGATGTGGATTCCTACCAGTTTGTACAGGTTTGGCTGAACCAGTAGTGGTTTTCCAGCCTGGGTCGCCAGAACTGGCAGCAACCTAGGCCTGCCATGCCTCCGAACCAGTTCCCTGGCATGCCTCCGAACCAGCATTCCCCTGCCCTTTTAATGTTCTGCACATGTGCAGATCTATTTTTTGTAGACTATTAACTGTGCAAAATTGTCCACCCCCGGAATTGGCACTAATGCTGGCAGCAACCTATCCCTGGAACCATAGCTTTGCTAGCATCCAAATGTGTGAAGCTAGCAATGCTATATCTGAAACCTTCCTGCATATCTCCAGCTACCAGAGATGCTGAGCATTTACTCCAAAGATCAGACCTAATTTCTTATCTGAAAAGTCTTTCTTCCTCATTGAACGGTGTTCGACCTCAGGGAAAATACTATATATATAAAGTCACAACCCCTGGTATGCCCAAATATGGGAGGAAGGTCACTACTTCCATTCTCTGTCATTCGGCTCGTCACAAGAGACGATCCAGACAGAAACCCAATTTTTTTTACTGTTGCCTTTTTGTTACATTTGTT